CATCCTCAATGATCGAATGAGGCAAATGTAGGTTATGTCTTTGGCCAGGGTCCCCATGCTCCTGGGATGCTGTAGAATACGGCAAAAAAAAAAAAAAATCTCCCGGTAGACCCAGGTCTGATGATAACTTATTTCAAATTGGGACCAGGGGTGCAATCTGTGGCCCCCTCCACAAATATTGCAAACCAAAGGGGGTTGTGGGTTTTTGCAGCAAGTTAGTGAACATGATTGACCATGAGCAGCTGTCAATCAAATGTGACTTCTCTCAGATCCCACCCCCTTTCTTTGGGTGATTGATTTGGTAAACTCGGCACAAGGTTGCACGCTTTGTTCCTCCAACTGTGAACCACAAAGACCACCTCGAAGTGCAACTCAAATCATTAAGGAAAGATAAGACATAAAGCTGAAAATCATTTTTTTTTTAAATCGCCTTAAAAAATGCATTTCTGAAAAAACGCATTCCCAAGGTTCAGCAGCACAGGAGAGTCATCTGTAAAAGGTAATTGCTCTTTAAATACTCGAAATAGTACAAACACCTAATAACGCGGGCAGGCTCAGCGTGTTTGTTTTAAAGCTATGTCCATAAATAATCCATCTCCCCAGAGGGAGCGAGGCTGATCCCGGGATCCACACATGCACACACACACAAAAAAGGAAATGGGGCAGATGTTTGAACACGCAAGGATAATAATGCTACGAAGGTGAAATTGCTCCTAGTAGTTGAAAATGAGGCGTGATGGGATTTCCCAGTTTGCATGAGATTTTGGGGTTTTTTTTTTAGGGTTTTATTTTTGCATCCCAAGAAGACATCTTCCGGGTGGCTTTTCTACCCATGGACAGACAACAGTCCAAGCTTTGGTTATCCATGACCTGGACAAAGGGGTGCAAGAATTTTCATTTCTGGGCATTATTTTACCTGTGGCTGCTGGGTGCGTCTTGTGCAACCCAGACCTCAGGAACTTGCCTGAGCCCCCTTTGATGGAAAAATCAGGTGCAATGAGTTTTTTTCCTCCTGTGTGGCCCCGTGTGGAAGAGCAGGTGACCTGTAGCTTCCTCTCGGGCTCTGAAATATGCAGTCACGGAGGTTTTCTGGGTCTAGGTCCCGACGCCCACGTCACAGAAATGTGGAATGACTGTTTTCTTTCATTTTTTTCTTTTTTTTTTTTCTGAATATAGTAATGCAAACCTCTAGAGGAATGATAGCTTTTAATTCTGGAACACAACCTAGATTTCTTTTTCTTTTCCTGCTTTTTAACCAGGTGGGTCAGGAGACGTTTCAAGCAATTTTGCAGAAAGGAAAAATAACAGAAAATATGGACCAACCCAGCCCTGCGGTCGGATTGCAGGAAATAAGTTGGAAATGCACAGTTAACTGGGGGTGCATTTGGCTCCTTTAGGTGTCATTCAAAGAAGGTCCATGGGAGATAATGACAGATGGTCCCAACGCTCATGGGGGTGGGGGACAGAAATGAGGACACCCTCTGACTTCAAATGACCCTCTCCTTCAGCTTCTCCTGGAGTAAAACCAACTGGACCTTCCTCTTGGTCTGCAACTCCCTGGCTCAAAGTTACTCCCCCCCCAACCATGATGCTCACAGAGAACAAAGAAGTGGCTTAGGGGTGACTTCCTTCCAAATGCATCCACCTCCTCCCAGGGACTAGGAGACTAGGAGACTGGGGGGGGGGGGCTGTATCTGCCCAGCTATCACCCCCTGCCCAGGACGGTCCCCAGCGTCCATCTCCACGCCTGCCCACCTCCCCTGCCTCGGCTGGTCCTTGGGTTTGGGGATGGAGGGAAAGAACTCTTGCGCTCACAGGTAACCGCAGCCCCGGCACCTGGCATGACCCTGGGTGGGTGACGTGGGGACCTTTACCTTTCCTCAAGGTCTGAGCATCTCTGAGATGGCCTGAGGGGTCAGATGCCTTCCTTGAACGTGGACTCACGTGTCCAATGCAAATCGAATGCAGGGATGGAACCCGGTGGTCCGTACAGGTGACCGTCAATGGCTGATATCATCTAAGGCTTTAACTTCAGACCCCATGGATGCAATTCCTATTCAATGCATGTGTTCATATACAGATGTGAGCGCATAAATCTCTGGGTGTGTATTTGCATACGTGTGAGGTGTGTGTCTCTGTGTTCACACGATGCACATTTGATGGAAATGCAATCCTGAGGGATTTTAAATGCATGGGAGTAATGCACATAAACTCCTATGCATCTGTCAATCACCTGTCACCCCCCCAAAAAAATAAGAACACCCGCAAAAAATCAAAGAAGTAAGCACACCACCTACAAAGAAAGGAAAGACGCCCAATTATTTGCACAAAGCATTAGAAAATACTGTGATATTTTATTATTAAAAATGTTGCTGAAAAGTTTATACATATGTGTCCAGCCATATATATCTTCTATCATTACTTAAGGCAAAATCAAAAACAAAAGTTGCAGAATCATAACCCAAAGAACCATTGAACCCTGCGTGCCTTTCAAGATCAAGAATAAAAGCCTAAGAAAGTATTTTTTTTCCCTTATTTTTTTTCTCCTTTTTTTTCTCTTTTTTTTTATAGATAGCAAGTATATTTTTTTCCCTCTCATAGAACTCTATGAAGACTCTATAACCTCTTTCCCGTAGAAATAAGATATCCTCCGCGACGTATTAAATTGCTTTTTGGATCATAATCCTCTGTAAAAGCTAAAAGTCTATCCACGGAACACGGGGGACGCTTTGTCTCTACCCCGGGGGCCACGAAGCCGACACATGACTGTACATATTGCTACCAGAAGACGATGGGAGGTACCGGACAGACACCGGGGTGCACGCTACGACAGACTCAACCCACATCCAGGCTGACCATCCGAGCCAGTGGACAGAAGCCCATCTGCTAGGAGGACCAGCTGGGGCGAATACGGATCTTGCAGAAATGGCCTGAGCACAGCTTTCCAAGAAAACCAAAAAAAAAAAAAAAAAATTTATAATAATAATAATAACAAATTGCGGGGACATCTTATCCAGGACATTTCACTGTGGACAGGGGAATGTGGTTTGCAGGTGCTCGGTGCGGGGGTGAGGGTCATCCTATTTCACATATTTATATACAGAGCTGAGGTCTCCAAAATCCAGATGGAGACAGCAGCATCGGGATCTATAGTGGGGATGCAGGTGTCCCCAAGAGCTCCCTTTTAGGTACAGATTCAATGCTGGGACACACCACTACGGCAGGGATTTCGGTGCAGGGATTTGGGGAGTTGAAGGTTGTTATTGCAAGGTGGGCAGGTGCTAAAGGCAGAGTGTCCACCTCAACGCTAGCATCATCGGAGACTGCGTTTCTGGAATTAACCCCAGCGGTGCCCAGGTAGGTTTCCTTCCAACTTCTTTGGCTACTGTTTCTTGGTGGGTGTATGAATTTTTGTTTTCCTCTAAGACCAAAAGACAAAGGGACCTTTCCTACTATATCCTTCCATCTTGAGACACTTGAAAAAATATCCCTTAAAGGGACATTAAAAGGGACTTTAAAAAAAAATGATTAAAAAAAAAAAAAAAAACCTGGCTTGCTCATAAATAAAGGCTCACCGCTGAGTCCAAGAGAAACACACGTGTCCTCCTGCCACCGGATTAGCAAGGCTGAGCAGGTCCTCTCCTGGGAAGATGGCCCTGCAGCTGCCCAGCTGAACAGTGCGGTATTGACCGCCCCGGGCAGGCCCCACCAAGAGGGCTTTCTTTGATTTTTTGGCAGGGACCCGGGGTGGGAAGCACATCTTCCTAAACAGATTCAAAGGGGCCCCGGAGGACACAAGGACACTTGTATTCTCCCACGTCCCCACTGCGGCTGGGTGTGCATTGAGCCTGCACCGAGACCCGTGCCCAGAAAAGAGAAAAATTCCCCCAAACCAGGGTCTGCCACCGACGCCCCCGGCATGCACTTCTGCCACCCAGGAGTGGACATGCAACGGGCTCCCCCCCACCCCTGGACGGACGGCCCAGGGTCTCTTGAAAGACACCACCGCCCTCTTCACCAACGAAACCAGTCAGACCAACAACAAAAACATCAAAAATCCCAGGTCTTTGTGTACCTCAAGTAATCAAGAACAAAAGCCATTTTTTTGTTGTTGTTTGATTTTTTTTTTGCAGGGAAGGAAACAGGTGGAATGACTAATGTATATATATATTTATATATTTATATACATTCAGAGCACGATGAAAACCACAGTTTTTGCTAAAAGCTCTTTCCAACTAAAAACACCGATAAAAGCTTTTTTTTTTTTTTTTTTTTTTCATTTTTAAATCTTTTTTTTTCTCTCCACCACCCCCCTCTGTTTTTGTGTGTGTTTTAAACTCACAGCTATATACACTTTTTTTTTTTTTTTTTTGATTTGTACAAAGTTTCTTAAATATAGTTCCAGCGGGCAAAACGGTCGCTTTGCGCAGAACTATACGGATTCTCCTGCATAGTGAAGTCTTTTTATTTCAATAGTAAAATCCTCCTCTCCCTTCTCTCTCTCTCCGTCTGTCCATGAGACGGTGCCAAGGGGTGACCGAGGACCCCAGGGGGGACTTCCTTGGCCGAGGTTCCGCCGTCCCCTTGTGTGGCACATAAAGGACATTATTGACGGATGCGTTTTTTGTTTTATTTTTTTTTTTCCCCCAACTGTGATTTAAAAAAAAAAAAAAAATCCGATATCCTTGGCTGAGTTCCAGAAACCTCAACTGCCTTTTGTCACGTCGGGGTTGTTGGAGGTCCTTGGGGCCACCCAAGCGTCCCCTGGGCATGGCGGGAATCTTTAAAGCAGTGTGGTCACGGAAATGGATGCTTTTTCACATTTCACAGGGTCAGAAGTGGATTGGGGGGGGGGGTGTGCAGAGGGGCGGGGAGGGGACAGGTAGATTCCAGGAGCCAGCGTCTGCAGGGTCACCTCGAAGACCCTTGATTTTATTTTTTTCTGTTTTTTTTTTTTTTTTTTTCCTTTTCGCTCCTCAGTCCTGCGGGATGCCAACCTGTCCTGGGTGGGAGATGGGGGGCGCTGGGTTCTGTTTCTCCCCGGGGAGGGGGGGGGGACCCTCTCTGGCTGGAGGGGACAGGGGACCGGACCGAGGGTGGGGGAGGGGACCGCGCAGCTATACGCGGGTGGTGGAGTGTCCGTGGGGCAGGTTGGTACTGTTCTGCCCCCCGCTGAAGGTGTTGAAGGTGTGCAGCGGCTGCATGCCCGTCAGCGTGTTGGGGATCATGGTGATGGTGTTGGGCGTCATGAGTGGGATGTCGTCCGGGGACCGGCGCAGGGTGAGCGTGTAGTCGGGCGGGCAGGTGAGCCGCAGCGTGTCGTGCGCCTGCAGGGACTCGCACTCGTGGTCGTGGTCGAGCTGCTTCATCTGCAGCGACAGGATCTCCTCGTTCTGGATGTGCGCGATGTCGTTGGCGGCGTTGCGCTGCGGGCTGGGCCGCCGGTGCGTCTCGTGCCGCCTTTTGTCCTTCTTGTAGTAGAGGGCGGCGAAGGCCAGGATGTTGAGGAAGAGCAGCGAGGCCCCCACGGCGATGGTGACGCTCAGCTCGGTGGAGTAGTCGCGCTTGGTCTCGATGAGGACCGTGGTGTCCTCGGGCCCCGTCTTGTGCGAGTCCTTGCTGTGCTTGGGGCTGTTGGCCGGCGTGATGGCCGGGCGCTTGGTGGTGGGCCAGATCTTGGCCGGGGACCTGCGGGTGCCGTAGGGGAACGAGGTCATGTCCGGGGGAGGGACTTTGGTGGTGGTGGACACGTACTGGAAGATCTCGTTCAAGTTGTGCAAGTGGGGGACCAGCTCCAGCCAGAAGGCCACCTTGGTGGCCCGGTAATGATCCCTCACCCGGGGCTTGAGGCCGATGTGCAGGTACAGCTGGTCCTTGGGGTTGTACTTGGACCAGGCCACCTCCTCGAAGCGGTTGGGCTTCGTGTGGATGAACTTGGTGTCCTGGGGCACGGGCTGGTTCGGATCCCTGGGGAGAGAGGAGCAGGGGTTAGCGAAAGGAGGTCACCCTCAAGTGCACGGAGATCTCTGCACGACCCCCCACGTGGGGATCCGTGACAGGGTCATGGCCAGCGATTATCGCCGAGCTCAACCCAGGCACCGTTCTGCTTCCATCCAAGGTGCGTCTACCATTTTGAAACCAAAGGTAAGTCCCTCTTGGTCTGAAGGATAATCGTCCCCCACAATTTCCCTGCTTTTGCAATGCATGCAATTTCTTTCAGTGAAGGAAGTGGACAATTCCATGCCTCGAGGCGAATTTGGTATTTCAAATCTATTTGAATGGTCCATCTCAAACCAGGGGTCATTTGTCCCATAGGGACAACGGACAGCGCTTGGAAATATTTTTTTTTTGGGGAGTGTGTTCCTCCATGGGGTATAGGTCAGGAGTGGCGCTAAACATCTCCAGGGAACACTGGAGACACCACCTTAAAAAAATAATTACATAAATGCATAAAAGCTATCCCCCGATGTGGACAGGAGGGACGGAGAGGATTCTGGATTTCCGAGGCTACTCTGGCTGACCCAGTGAGCACTATCTCAATCAAGAAGGGACATTGAAGTCCTTGGACAGATGCTGGGATTTTAGCACGGAACATCAAATAAAAATGTGCATTGCTATTGCATAAACGGCTCGGACACAGACAGGCACCATATTGCTGTTTCTGTTTGAAAGGGGACCATGATAGTATGGGACACCCGTTGAGGACGGAGTCAGGAAATGACCAGGAAACAGTTTTCGTGTTTTCTAGAGCCCTGCACACCGTGAGCAAGTTTTTGACCCCACCTGGCCCTCCCTCAGTCTCCCACACTGTGGGCACAATGATCACCCTTGGAGGTGACAGATGAAGGTGAAGAATAGCAATGAGACTCTTGTCACAACGGAGAATTCAAGAAATATTATTGATCATCTTCCAATACGATTATTGGAATACCTGAGCGATGGCCAGGGAAGGAAGGCTCTCAGGCCACCTTATTGTAGACCAGACTCTATCCTGTGTTTACTGTATACAGTGTGCACAAGAATATTGCATATTGTATGCTCTGTACCACAGTATATGCCACCTGTATACTCTAAGTGGCATACAATATACCTTTATATAGTGTACCACAATGTTCAGGTTTGGATATGAGGTGTCGCCCAATGCTCATGTGTCAGACAACGAAAAAAATGTTCATAGGTGAAATATTTGCACTATGATAACCTTGATCTAAATAGTGGATTAATCCACTGATGTGGATTAAGTGGGTGGTGACTGTAGGCAGGTGCGGTGTGGCTGGAGGAGGGGGTCCCTGGACTGTGCCTTTGGGGTCTCTGTCCTGTCCCTGGTGAGCAGAGCTCTCTCTGCTCCCTGGTGCCCTGTCCTGAGCTGCTCTCCTCCTCCAGGCCCTGCCGCCATCTTGTTCTGCCTCCCCTTGGGCCAGAGCCATGGAACCAGTTGTGTATGGACTGAGACATCTGATACCATGAACTCCAAGAAAACTTTAAATTGTTCTTATTGTGTATTTTGGTCACAGCAACAGAAAAGTCGAATAAAACACACTATATCCTGTTTACTAAACGCCAACTGTATACAGTGCATATGTGTGTCTATGCATATTTGTATGCATATATGCAAACATGTATATCTCTATCTCCATATATCATGAATTTTCTTACCTACTTAGCAACATTCACATGTTTGAAAAATCAGCCAGTTCGGATCCATTATATTTTTCTTTCTGCGTGTTTTTGGGAAGATGTCTGCTTCGATGTGACACCTCATGTGTCTTTTATGTATCTTGCAAAATAAATTTCAAGTCTTTTTCCATTAAATTGGGATCTGCCAGGAAAAGGCTGGGCCTCTCTTTTTTATTGTTGCCCCAAGACATGAAAAGGGGTAAAGATGCCTCCTCTTCCCCGCTCAGTGTGAGTTTGCCACCCGGCGTCTATTAGATAGAGAGCTTTTATGAAGCGCCGAGCCACCAGGACAAACAGTGCTCTGTCTGCGGGGCTCGCGGGCTCTGCGGCGAGGAACTCAGTGCATGTTTCAAAGGTAAAGAAAAACACATTTATTTTGTTCTCAAAGAATAGGCCAGAGGATTTGCAAAACCCAGATAAGCCGGCTTCAGCCCGATACCATCTAGCTATTAAAGGTCTCGGAGAGGCACAGGCAGGGTCTGTGAAACCGCCATCAACTCTCAGAGCTCAGCAAACCCGGGGCCATCTCCCCGCTCAGAGGCTCCAGAGACGGCATTAGGCCAGTGGAGAACCAGAGGCTCATATTTCCCAATTTCTCCTTCTGCATCCAAAACGCTTGAATTTCCAAGAGGAAAAAATCAAAAGATCAGACCCATGGAGCCCAGATACAATCTCGACAGCAAACATCCAGAGCATTTCCGCGGTCAGAGAGGGACGCTGTGGTCTGGGGTCCATACATCAGCCTGGCCTCCTCTCAGCTCAGCTGGGCAGGAGGCTGTGCTGGCCCTTTAAAAAAGATCCATGCAGCAGCTGTCCTCCACCAGGTGGCTCAGTAACTCCTCCCGGACACCAGGGGGCGATGTCGGCTCAGCCTGAAATACCTCCTGGACCCCAAAATAATCCCCACAGAGAGATGGCAGCTGACCCCCTCCAAAGAGATGCATGGGTTTGTGGCTTTGGGTGGCCACTCTAGAAAGATCTTCCCATTCTCGAATTGCAAAAGCACTTAAAGTCTTTCATGAGGGAGGGGGGTGTGTAGTTTGCTGGGGTCCACACCTCATCCCCTACCCCTTTATTTTGTTCTGAGGATGGACCCCAGGGGCTTTGGGCATGCCAGGCAGGTGGTCTACCACAGGTCTGAGGACCTACTATGTGATTCAGTATAAAAAAAAAAGAGCAAACCGGGTGCAGGGGTGCACGCCTGTCCTCCCCATGACTTGGAAGGCTGAGGCAGGAGGATTGCAAGTTGGAGGCCAGCCTCAGCAAATTAGCGAAGCCCTGTCTCTAATTTTAAAAATTAATTAATTAAAAGGGAAAAAATGTAGGATTGGCTATGGCCATTTTGGTCCCAACCAGTGTTTTTAGATTTATAGCTTCACCAGGACCTCATTTCTCACTTCTGCTAGAAGCACCAACTGTGTCATATATTTTATTATTATTATCATTATTTTTGGAGTGGGGGACTGGGGATTGCACTCAGGGGCACTCGACCCCTGAGCCCCGTCCCCAGCCCTATTTTGCATTTTATTTAGAGACAGGGTCTCACTGAGTTGCTCAGGGCTTCGCTTTGGCTGAGGCTGGCTTTGACCTCGCCATCCTCCTGCCTCAGCCTCCCAAGCAGCTGGGATCACAAGTGTGTGCCCAACAGTTTAAGAAGCCTTCCCTCCTCTTTGCACACAAGAAATGAAGTGTCCTTCCAACTTCTCTGGCATGCATCTTTCCTTTCTTCCTCTTTATTATAATTTTTTTTTTTTTTAAATAGTGAAAGCACCAACCTCATCCTCAGACACATCAGCAGCAGGGACAGCTAATGAGAATTTAATGGCTTTATTTGGGTTTCATTCTTCTTTACTGGTCAATTAAACATATGATAAATGACTCTGACTTTGCCTTTAGGGAAAGCACACAAAGGTGATTTTTGAAACGTGTAAGAGACAAGAAGTAGGCTCTTTTAATGAGGATTAAGATAGGACTTTTTGGTACAAAGTAAATAATAGATGAAACTGCGCAGGGTGGCATAGGCCTGTAATCCAAGAGGCTGGGGAGGCTGAGTCCGGAGGATAGCAAGTTGGAGGCCAGCCTCAACAACTTAGGGAGGCCTTAAGCAACTCAGTGAGGCCCTGTCTCTAAATAAAACACAAAATAGGGCTGGGGAGGTGGCTCAGGGTAAAGTGCTCTGAGTTTGCATTCAATCCGTGGTATCCAAAAAAATAAAATAAAAAAGATGTACTACCTATACCAAAGTATATCTACATCTCTACCTATTTTTGTAGGCAGTTCAGTATATATTTATAAATAAAAATTTGAATATATATTCTATGCATAAAAATATAAAATTGCATCTATAGTGTTAAAAAGATAAATACTGAATATAATAAAGTACAAGTGCATGTCTATTTATTATCTATTATCGTCTATCTATACATTTATGACATAGAAAAATCTTGGTGGCCATCTGTGATTTCTATATCCACGGATTCAAGCAATCACGAGTAAAAATAATTTGGAAGAAAACCTGTGTTTTGGGGCTGGGATCGTGGCTCAGAGGTAGAGCGCTCGCCTCGCACGTGAGAGGCCCTGGGTTCGATCCTCAGCACCACATAAAAACAAATAAATAAAATAAAGATACTGTGTCCAACTACAGCCAAAAAATAAATATTTAAAAAGAGAACCTGGGTGTTTGCAGAATTTTCCGTCATTATATCTGTCATCCAGAAAATATTTAAAGGGCATCAGACAATGTGGACAGGTTGCATGTCGATATTGTGTCAATTTATAAAAGGGACTTGGGGGGGGCGGGTCTTCAGAATCTGCTCATTGTGGGGGGGATTCCTGCAATGAACTTTCTATAAGAGAGATGGATATATAAATTTGTGTGTGTGTGTGTGTTTGTGAGTTTGTGTGTATGCACACACACATCTACATATGTTTATATAGGCATATATAGGCACCCACATGTATACACAACAGACATCTAAATCACATACAGTCACATATGTCTACTCAATACATAAAGATACAGAAAACCTATGTTGATACACCTTTGTAATTATCACAAGGTTTACTTCGTTCCTGGGTTTAAGTATCTCGATCCACCTTGAAAACAAGATTCTAAAATATCAGTAAGGTCAGTTGCCAACGTGACCGACACGTTTCAAAGAATCCTTTTATTTAACAAAAGAGATCAGGTCAGGGCTAGGTTTGAAATTCTGCCGTCAGCTCAGAAATCAATAATCAAAAATCTGCCAATCCTGCACCAGCAAGCACAAATTGGAGGACTTTTCAATAAGCACCAAGCACTCTCAGGTAGAATATATAGAGAATTATGTAAATATACCGATATGAGAAAAAAATGTAAAATATAAATAAATAGATACATAGATATAGTGCCAGAGATTGGTTGAATCCAGGGGTGCTTAACCACCGAGCCACACCCCCAGCCCTTTTAAATTTTCACTTTGGGATAGAGTCTGGTAAGTGGCTCAGGGCCTCGCTAAGTGGTTGAGGCCGTGGCCTCCCATTTGCAATCCTCCTCCCTCAGCCTCTGGTGCTGCTAGGATGACAGGCGTGCACTACCACGCTGGGGATCATATTGCACAAGTCAAGGAAATGATTTGGGGGTGCGGGTGTGAGAAGGAGTCGAGCCGAGGAGGAGGAGGAGGAGGGGGAGGAGGAGGAGGAGGCACCTACCCGGTTTTGGCGAAGTTGGTCCAGTAGGTCATGACCACGGCGCTCAGCATGACGTCGTTCTTGGAGAAGTTGCAGCTGAAGAGCTCCGTGGGCCCGATCATGGGGATCCCGAAGACGTAGGGGACCTCGTCGCCGTGGGCCGAGTCGGCCCAGCTGGGCTTCATCTCGCTCTGGCAGTGGTGGTAGAAGGCGTAGAAGTAGGTGGGCGAGCCGTACTGCGCGTGCAGGTCGGCGGTGGCCACGGCGGGGGCCACCCACTGGTGGTCGGTGAAGAGGGCCACCAGGGTCTTCCTGCGCGTCTCGGGGTTCTCCTTGTCGGCCCAGTCGGTGTACATGAACTTGATGGTCTCGCGCAGCGTGTCCTTGCCCTCGGGGTAGCCGTACAGGTTGTCGACGAAGTTGGACACGGAGAAGTCGAAGTCGTTGGGGGTCACCCCGTCCTCGTTGTCCACGATGCCGTCCACGAACTTGAGGCCCTCGCCCTGGTTGACGCCCAGCATGATGTCGTAGTTGAGGAACTCGCCCTGCTCCATGAGGATCTGGGGGTCGTCCGGGATCACGTCGCCGTCGATGACGGGGCCGAAGGCGATGTGGTAGGTGGCCGGCGTGATGGCCTGCTGGATGAGCTCCTTGTGGTTCTTGTTGCGCAGGCACTCCACCAGGTCCGTCGTGTCCAGCATGTTGCAGCCCACCTTGTCGGCCAGGAGGCGCGTGTACTTGGCCGGCTGGTAGTTGACGGCCCAGCTGGACAGCGCCGTGCCGCTCTGGATGATGGCCTTCTGGAACAGACCTGCGGGGGCGAGCACAGAGACGCCAGCCAGTGAGAGGGCGCGCGCGGGAGGGAGGTCCCCTTTCTCCGGGCGGCGGAGGAGGACGCTGCTACTGTCCCTGGGGGCGCGCGAACGTTTGCACCCGGCACCACGCAGCGGAGCCCGTGCGCACCGGAGTGAGGACGCACGATGCATCCGCAGAGCTCTGCTGCCGTGGCTTTTCTGCACGGGTATATCTCCAGATTAAAAATATATATATATATAGAAGGGAGAAAAACAATGCAGTTTATCTCTGCACGGTTTCATGGATTCTATTTCATTTTTATGCATTTATTTATTTTTTTGCAGATTTGGCTTCATGCACGTGCGTAACGACGCTCCCTGGTATCCTCCTTCCCCCCCAAACGCATGCTGTGCCCATGCATGAGGTCCAAAGAGCTTGCATCTCTCACAAGCAGGACTTCAGGACTGCGCTGGAGAAAAAATTAAAATAATAAAAATAAAAATAAAATGATAATAATGAAGACACCGGAATCTGATTCAGAGCGAGAATTCAGGGGAGCATGTGCGTTGCTGTCTTTGGTTGAAAGATATTAGGCTTTTATATTTCTCATGGAATAAATAAATGAGCTACGCTTGCAGAAATCTTCCATGGGTCTCCAACTATCTTTTTTTTCTTTTTAATTGATCCACTCGTTTCCATGCAAAACTGAGTTTTGTGAGGTTTGTTTTGTCCCATCAGAAATAAAAAAATGCCTGACCCCGAGGCAAATTTGGAAAGGCCTGGGCAGTTGCAGGAGCAGAATTCTAGGTGCGCTCAGCTCTCCGTGCAGCGGGAGGGACGGAGCTGTGACCAGGTGCGGAGGTGCATGCCCTGTGGGTTTTGAAGGACAAGGAAGCCATCAAAGAGTGCGGGGATATGATGGCTGTCAGGAGGATGAGGTTGGAAAGGTTGGACGACTGCGCGGAGATGACATGGGATTGCGGCGTGAAGCTGCCTAATGTGTCACTCAAAGGCACCTGGGGACCCCTTTCTGTCAGGAATGCACACTGCGATGGACTGCACTGACTCGAGTGTTTGCCTCTCAAGAGCAACGTGTTCGAGAGCCCTGGAGGAAAATCATGTGTCATTATTTGACCAATTCGAGGCATTTATAAGTTAAAACGAGAAGTTAAAAATGCTACGAGAGCCGGACCTGGTGGTGCACACTTGGGATCCCAGCAGCCCCAGAGGCTGAGGCAGGAGGATCGTGAGGCCAAAGCCAGCCTCCGCCAAAGGGAGGCCCTCAGCAACTCAGGGAGACCCTGTCTCTAAATAAAATGCAAAATAGGGCTGGGGACGGGGCTCAGGGGTCGAGGGTCCCCGAGTTCAATCCCTGGTATGCACCTTCCCGAAAAAAGGTGATCTGTGAATTTGTATTTGTCACTATTTAAGGATAATAAATGCCATTTTACATAAGGGACTGAGGATAGGACAGTTTCGACATATGCAAATAGGGCTCCCCTAGATAGTGACAGAGGACTGTCATTGGACCAAGTGCTCCTGCAGATCCCCCCGCCCTCCCCGCCCCGGGGGTCACCTTCATATTACCTTCCGAGTAGTGAGACAAGGTCAGGAGGCTCACGCAGGAAGCTCCGGCCCCTGAGCCGAAGATGGTCACTCTCTTGGGATCCCCTCCGAAGGCTCCCACATTCTCCTCGATCCACCGCAGGGCCTGGATCTGGTCCAGGAGCCCGTAGTTGCCCTTGGCTGCCTGGTCCCCCGTGCTCAGGAAGCCTGCAGGGAGGAGACCCGCCTGTCAATCACAGCAAGCACCTGCGCCCTGTGCATATTGAACACTTTTTTTTTTTTAAGGTATTGTTGATTGCATTGTTTCTGTGAAGGGTCTGCTCAGATCCTTAGTTCAGTTATTGACGGGGTTATTTACTTTTTTTTTTTTTTGGTGTTACCTCTGGGAGTTAGAGAAATGCAAATTCAAAGTACAGGGAGATTTCGTCTCACCCAAGTCAGAATGGCAATTGGGACAATGAATACAAGTAACAATAAATATTGGCGAGGACGTGGGGACAAGGCACACTCATACGTTGCTGGTGGGACTGCAAAATTGGTGCGATCACTCTGGAAGACAGGTTGGAGATTCCTCGGAAAACTGGAAATGGAACCACCATGTGACCCAGCTATCCCACCCCCCAGTTTATACCCAAAGGACTGAAAATCAGCACACTACAGTGGCACAGCCACATCTATGTTTATAGCAGCTCAATTCATAATAGCTAAGCTGTGGAACCCACCTAGGTGTCCCTCGATAGATGAATGGATACAGAAAATGTGGTACACGTACAGGATGGAATAGTACTCAGCCATGAAGAAGAATGGCATTATGGTATTTGCAGGAGACTTACTAAGTGAAATAAGCCAATCCCCAAGAACCCAGGCCAAATGCTTTCTCTGATATGTGTTTACTAATTCACAATAAGGTAGGGGCTTATGGAAGAACAGAGGTGCTTTGGATTAGGCAGAGGGGCGTGAAGGGAGGGGAGGGGTACCGGGTAGGGAGGACAGTAGAATGGATGGGACATTGTGACCCTGGGTGCATATATGACCACGGGAGCAGGGTGATTCTACACGATGTGCATCCAGAAGGAGGAGAAGTGACACTCCATCTATGTAGGACGTGTCCAAGTGCCGTCCACCGTCACGGAGAGCTAATCAGAACAGATCGTTTCAGATAAATGCGAAAAAATCTGGTGCTTTAATCACACTCCAAACCCTCAACTCCTGTTCACATCTCCCCAACTGTCCCCCCCGATATCAGGAAAGGTCGCTCTTAACATTTAAAACAAGGAGGATTCTCTCAGGGGACAGTTTAGATTTTGCTAAAGACCGTCACATGGCCAACTCCCCCTTGGGAGATGCAGACCAGGCAAATTTGGCCTGTGTCACAGCAGGACCATCAGCGACCCTGTCTCCTTCCCCATTTTCTTGAACACTGCAAAACAATTCGACCTGGAAAAAAAAAAAAAAAGTGTCTCTCCCGTGATGTATTCAGGTCACTTCACGTCAAGATGGAGAGTTACCTTGGCAGAAGCAAAAATCACGCATCTTTTTTTTTTCCCCTAAAGCATCCTGCGTGTTTAATTAGTTGCACGGACGGTCACTCAGAGGCGTCCACTGCCTGAGATTTTTCCAAATGGAACAAACCAAGGACCAGGAAGCCGCTGGATGAAGAGTGTCTAAAACTGCAAATCACCCTCTGTCCAGCAGGAGGCGCACACGGACGCCCCACCTCGTCTTCCTGCAGGGATGTTTTTTTCTTTGCACCCGAGGGAACCTCACTCTCCTGGTCAGAGGGGGTTAGGAACTCCCCCGGAGCAAGACAGCTGCCAAGGTCAGCATGGAAACAAGGTCACACAGAAGCAAATGTGTCTGGCGCATTCTGGGGCAGATGAGCTGGGGTTCCAGGGGACGCTGGGACCTGGAGCCATTACTCATTAGTGTTTAATGAGCAATTATTTAAATAGTTTAAATGAGCAATTACTCATTAGTGTTTCCGGGCAGGGAGGTGTCCTGCAATGTCACAGCGTCATCACGGACATGTTTTGCACAATGCTTAAAAAAAAAAAAAAAAGAATTGTGCAGGGGTGTATTGAAGGGTTAGAAAGGGGAGGGGACACTCTCGAGGGACAGAGGGCTCCTCTCACAGAGGACAGGGACAGCGTGCCCCTCCTGTCCTCCAGTTCTATTGGGGTCCCAGGGAAGTTCCCAGAGCCCCTCCCAGGTCCCCTCCTGACTTTGACGGACAGCAGGGTGACCTCCGACTCTCCAGTCCCCAGGGCCATGGCCACTCTGGGTCACCCTGGCCCCTGCTGCCTGGTTCTCAGTGGAACCTGTTCTTGCAGATTTTAGGGTTGGAGGAAGGATCCTCGTCCCCCTGGGTCCTGTGACCTGGTCTGCGTCAGGGTCCCAGAAGTCCCCCCTTCAGGGTCACCTGGCTCCTCTTAGGGACATGGTTTCCCGCCTGCATGTCCCCTGCAGGTCACAGGTGGTGTGTGAGGAAGGTGCCCGGAGGCTGTGCCCAGAGGCCAGGCAGGGCTGCAGGTCCAGGGCTTCTGGGAAGGAAGCTGTGGGGTCAGCACCGGGGGCCGCTGATAGACAGGAAGGGACTGTGCTGAGATGCCCATGTCCTTATCTGCAGACTCAGGACTGGGTTTGTCGACACGGGGATCCCTGCAGACCTTAGGGCCTCCCTTTGGCTGAGGCTGGCTATAAACTTGGGATCCTCCTGCCTCAGCCTCCACAGCATCTGGGATGACAGTTGTACACCCCTGTTCCCAGCCCCATCAGAGATATTTTGATGCTTATGGATGGAAACCAGCCAGAAGGGTGGGATTGCAAGCCCTCTCTTCTTCCCAAGTCGGTTTTCCAACACACACACACACACACACACACACACACACACACACACACGTGCTATGAACACAGACTCCTTCCCAGGGCTCCAGGGCACAGGGCCAGGCTGTGTCATCTCCGGCTCCACCTCCAGACATGCAAAACCTCACACGATAAATCATTTTTTTGGCTCTTGACCTTATCCGCCTGCCCTATTGCTCTCTGGGCCATTCTAGACGGTGCCTCTGTGGATAGGGCCCTTGCAGAGCACAGCGCCCCCTGCAGGCCAGCCCCAGAGAGGCTTCTGTTCGGTTGCTTTTTGATTTCCCTGCACACAGTAGGCCCGCGCGCTCCAAAGCTTTGCAAAACGGGCAAAGTTTGGAAACTCAGACGTCAGGACTAGGTGGAAGGGGAGTTTCGGGTTATGCAAACGGGGAGGTTTGGGGTGATGGAGTCTCTCCCCATACACTGAAGGATGCATCTCAGGCTACTGGTTGCAAAACGATTTTGCAGAAATGTGATTTGTATTTTTTTATGCAGTCAGGGTCTCAGTGTTCAGTTGAAAACCGACCATGAAGATCAAGACCAAAAATAAAAGGACTGTTTTTTTTAAGTGCTGCATAACTTAGGGAGATTTTTTACTGGAGAATTTTTTGAAGGGTCCCCTGCTCTCATTACATTTATTTTTAATTAGAATCTTGTAAGTTATTTGAACCGAGTTCATATTTTTTTCAACATCCAATTAGATGTGGCCCAGAAGACATAATTGGTGCATGGTTTTTATCTCCTCCTTTTACTTATTTGCACCCCAGTAATTGCAGTGACCGGGGAGGCTGAGGCAGGAGGATCATGAGTTCAAACCCAGCCTGGACCAGTTAGCGAGAGAAAGCTACTCGGTGAGAACGTGTCTCAAAATAAAATATAAAAAGAGCAGGGGCTGCAGCTGGATTCAATCTCCAGTACTGCAAAAAAAAAAAGAAAAAGAAAAAGAAAAAGAAAGAAAGAAAAAAGAAATTAAAAAGAATGCTTTTTTGATTTTTAAAGAAAAAAAGGCAGTCATATTTTTGAACGTTCATACTAGGCAGGATATTGTGAAATGCACACAAGAAAAGATGACTTGCAAAACATTGTTTCATGAATATTACATGATTCTCATAAATCCTTTAACAGGGGCTCATTCCAAACACATTGTTCTCTTGTTATCCCAGCGGCTCAGGAGGCTGAGGCAGGAGGATCATGAGTTCAAAGCCAGCCTCAGCCAAAGCGAGGCCCGAAGCAACTCCGTGAGACCCTGTCTCTAAATAAAATGCAAAATAGGGCTGGGGAGGGGGCTCAGGGGTCGAGTGCCCTGAGTTCAATCCCTGGTATCTACCCAAGCCCCCCAAGAAAAGCAGATGAGGTTAGCAAAGCTCCTTTAATGTGTGACTTTGAATGAGGTGATGGGTATCAAAGTACTTCACCTTTTGCAAAACCGCATAAAACTCGAGTTGTGATCATCATGTGCAGGAAAATTTACTAAGGACTTGGGCGTAAATAGCTGATAGCACAGATGTATCAAATTATCCCACTGCACCCCATACCTGGGTGCAATTACTAGGTGCTCATTTAAAATGTATATATATATATATTGAATATGTAGATTGAATATTGAATATATATATATATATATATATATATATATATATATATATATGCATATATCGAATGTTGATAATATGTTCATATTTACATTCTCTTTAGCTCAAGGTCCAGTCACCTCGTTTGAAGAGGGACAATTGAGCCAAGAGTTTGGGGAGTGTAAGAAATGCCCGTTGAACAAGCCACATTTAAAAGCGGTTCTTGTTCAAATCTACACCTCTGTTGCGTTTTTTTTTTACCCCCTAGGACAGCCGCACAACCCAGTCTCATTTTCCGCCCATCAGAAGTCTCAAGGTTACCCAAGCCAAGCGTCAAGGTGAGGAGGAGCTTAAAATAGAGATTCTAGACAAAATTGTTCAGTGCTCTTCCTGGACACTAAATCTTAGGACACACAACGGCCTCCCTTGGCTGCACTGGAAATGAAAGAGAGGAGAGAGAGAGAGAGAGAGAGAGAGAGAGAGAGAGAGAGAGAGAGAGAGAGAGAAAGAGAGAGAGACCTCCTGTGTTTCTTTGGTCACCAACCCCAAAACTGGGCTTCATAAGAAGAGAGAAAAGAAAGAAAATGGTTTTCTATTTCCAGAAATAAACATCTCACCAGCAAATGCCTCTGTACCTCTCTCTCTCTCTCTCTCTCTCTCTCTCTCTCTCTCTCTCTCCTACTTCATCTGCCAGAAATCACAAAGTCAGACGGGTGCTCAACTTGAGCCCCCATATTCTCGGTTATTTGGGGGGAAATGAGAGGTACTGGG